GGCGGGGCGGGTGCAGGTTTTATGATACCCGTCCCCGTCCCCGCGACTGAAACCCATACCCATCCCCGTCCCCATACCCGCTCGGGTATGTAATTTTTGTCCCATCCCCGTCCCCGTCGGGTATCGGGTATACCCGTACCCGTACCCGTAAAAAAGCAAACAAGCAAGCATCACCCTCACACTATGGAGAGCCTCTGCCTTGCACTCCATTCCTCTCTCTCAACCTCAATATAATTATAAATAAAAGTACTTCAACGGAAAAACTCAACAGATACATATGAAAAAATATTAGCCTTTCTTTTTATAATTTTTTTAAAAAAATTTATCAATAATTAAAATTTAGTACAAATCATAAATTTTAGCAAAATTTTCTTTTTATTTAGTAAGACTTTCTTAATTTAATATTGAGCCTACTATAATTTATAATTTTAATAAATTTTTACAATAATAAAGAGAATGTTTAAAAAATAGTTTTATATATATATATAATCATTTATCTTAGGAGAATGCTAATATACTCTCACCTATTTTTTAGTAGGAGTATGTTAGCAACCTACACCAAAATTTTAGGACAAAAAAATTACTCATTTCTTTTGATTTGGTTAATTTGTATAAAGAATATTATAGTAATTTAATTTAATTTTAAATGAAAATAAAATATTTTCTCTCTCTTATTAACTTCATTCTCTAAGTCATTTCTCTCTCCTATTAAATTTTTTCTGCAACTCATTTCTCTTTCCTATTAAATTCTTTCTCTAACTTATTTATCTTTCTCCTATTAAATTTATTCTTTAACTCATTTCTCTCTCATCTCTCATGATGTCTCACCCCTCTCTCTCTGAACAAATAAAAATTAATTAATAAAAAAAATAAATGAATTGGAGAATGAAATTAATAAGAGAGAAAAAAAATTTTATTTTTATTTAAAATTAAATTAAATTACTATAACATCTTTTGTACAAATTAACAAAATCAAAACTTAAAATTTTGATGTAGGTTGCTAACATACTCCCACTAAAAAATAGGTGGGAGTGTATTATCATTCCCCTTTATCTTATTATAAAAACTTGTGACAATAAATTTACATGTTCTTCTATTTTTTTTTTTTAAAACGAAACAATTAAGTGAACGAAATTACATGAATCACCTTAAAAACATGAAATATTTCTAAAAACAAAAAAAAGAAGTTGTCATAAATGAGATGAAAGACGCGTGCAAAAGTATGTGGTGGGTATGAGTGCAGCACAAGTTTGGTGTTCCCACCTTCATAGTTCCTACAGCCCAAGCCCATGTTCTGTTCGGTTTCAGCCCCAAAACCGATACTATTAACACCACACTGCAATTGCATTGCACGCTTTCTCTCTCTCTGTCTTCTTCCTTCTCTACACTCTGCACTCTGCACTCTGCATGCACATTGGACTCTGTCTCCTTCCTCTTCACTCTCCTTACACTGTTCCATAATAACAAACCAAACACTTCCATTCTTTCACCACTGAATTTCTCTTCCTTTACCATTTCACTCTTTAAAACAATTTGCATTTCCATTTTCAGTGTCCTGTTATCTTCCACCACCATGATGGTTTCCGAAGCTGACCTAAAAAACGTGATCCCTAATGATGATCAGTGTTTCTTAATGTACTTCATCGTGGGGACCTATTTCGGCCCCGACATCAGAGGCGAAACCACCAAAAAATCAATTTTGCAGAGAGTAGCAGAGGGGCTTCCACCATACACATCCAACCAACTTGCTCATTCTTTCATCAAAGTCGTTGAATTGGAGCGTGTCTACTATAACATACTCAGAAACAGTGACAGATCACTCATTCTCAAGGTAACCTCATTGCGCCGTTTCTTCCAAGGCCAAGCACAAGGTGGTAATTGCAATTACCCCCAATTTCCTGATTTGTTCCCTCCTGAGTTGCACCCTCACTCCTGGTTCAAGAACCGTTTCAAAATCATTCACAGCCTTGTGTTCATCAACAACCCTGAAGGCTCCCACCTCAATAGCAATGATGTTGAGAGGTTCAAGAGGCTGAGTGGGGTGAATGATTTGCATGTAGAAAGAGATGCTGCTAGGTTGCAATTGGGTGCTTGTTTTGATGCCACACGTGTTATGAGTAATGCTAATGTTTCAGTAGGAGAGGTTGAGCGTGGTGATAATAATGTTGAGCACTGTGGTGGTGGTTCTTCTGGGGTTCGGGATCATGTTTATGTTGCTGCTGCAACTACTAGTGGTGATGGTAATGTGATGCATAGTTGCATGACTAATGAAGATGAGGGTGATCCTTATAAAGTTGGGCCAGCTATGTTGTTTCTGCCTTCGCGGCCTTCTCAGAAGGAGTTGTCTGATATTGTGGCTGCTACCAAAAATGGAGTTGCTTTAACTGGAAGTGCGGCTATGGGCCAGGTTGGGCCCATCATTGGGCTTATAGACATTGGAGAGTGTGAAGACGCGTATCTGTTTCGTGGATCTCTTCCCGGGGTCAAGAGGGATGAAAGTAAGTTTCTTGTTCCTTGATTCATCTATAACATAGTTGTCATTCATATAGTTATGAAGTTTTATGCTGTGGATTGATGTTTTAGGAATGTCTCTTTGATGTTTACTGTTGAAAGATTGTGATTGATGAAATGAGATTATTTTAAGTTCCTTGCCAGATGGAAAGGAATCTAAAAGGGGTCCACTTGTTTTTATTAGAAGGAATCTAGAGTTTTGGAAGCTTATATTATCTATTTTTTATGATTAGATTTTGACTATGGGCAATGACACTTCTATCTGTGCTGACCGATGCTTATGTAGACCAAATTGTCAACTTGGCCATAAAAAATGTATTTTTTGTTGCTAATCATACTGTTGTTTGGGGGCTAGGAATAAAAACTCTTAATCATTTTTGCATACGGTGGTGCCTCTGAGATGTCACTATTGATGATTGTTAACTAATTTTGCTTGAATTTATGATGGCAGAGGAATTCAACTGTGAGGTTGGCACGGATGGTAAAGTGTTAATGTGTGGAGTAACTACAACAGGAGAGAAATCGGTGTCCAGGTACTCTCAGGTGTTTGAAATGCAAACTCACAATCTTTGCCCACCAGGTCAATTCTCCATATCGTTCCAGCTGCCTGGCCCTGTTGATCCACATCAATTTTCAGGTAATTTTGGCACTGATGGAATTCTTGAAGGAATTGTTATGAAAGGAGAATGTACATGACGGCAAGGTTCCATCCCATTAGAATCTTTCCTTTTATTCCACAATGAACCATCGAAAGTTACATGTGTATGTTTGGTTTCCGGTTGAAAAACTACAAAACTACAAATCCACGTCCAACGAAATAGACAAAAAAAATTTTACTTCTCAGTTTGGTGCATTGAAAAGTATAAATTATGGGTTTTCAAACACACTCATAAAATTATGTTTGGATTACTCTAGGAAATCCGTTGGGGGTGTCAAGTGCACTTTTGGAGAAGTAACCCCTTTGTATCTTTTGCTCCCAATGTACTTTTGCAAGCATCCAAATGGTAACTCAAACATGTACTAAATTGATGCAAAATTGTTTAATGAATGTGATTTTGAGTGACAATGTCCTGTATAGTGCCCATCTTTATCTTGTTTATTTTGAAATTTAGTGATGCACATGCTCAGATGCTATGTGACATTCTCTTCATGTTTAAGTGACTATGGCATGTTAACTAATCCATTTTATGGACATAACAACATTGCTGGTGCCTTGTATGCCCCGCATACATGCACAATCCTATTGTACGCAATTATCATTACCTATTTAGTTACTCTTAGTTGAAGGGAACTATACGTGTAGGGGAGTTTTTCTATTTCCCTCTTGTTTAAGTTATAAATGTGCCAATATAATTTTACTTTTTCTAACTTTCAATGCACCATCGAACTAGGTCATCAGCGACCTTCCAACGTTCCTTGAAAAGCATTTTGGGTGAGCGTGAATGCGTGATTCCTAAGGTGAATTTTGTAATGGTTAAGTTAATTACATACACAGCTGGAGAGAGATTGGTTGATAGTTGGCATATAAATTACAACCTCAAACCCGAGGCCTGGATTATGGATTTCAGTTGCTCCTCAGCTCTAAAATCCTTGATGTTTAATGATGTTGTACGGTGCTCCACACTAGTACTATTATTTTAACTTCATTTTGTAGTTTTGTCTTGCTTTTTATTTTTTTGGGTCCCCAGCCCCTTTTAACCATAGAAAAAAGAGTGGATACCTATTTATTTATTTAAATAGTACAACATACCATGACCGTACTATAATATCTGTATAATTTTTAAGTTTCATTAAACTTTTAGTCTTTATACCTTACGCTCATTTTCATTTAGGTCCTTGCATAAAAAGTTTTCAAATTGGTTGCAAACGTGATGACAACTGGATGTACTTGTTTTACATGTATAATAGAAGCTGAACTGACAGATTTATATGGTTAAATTTTCATTTTAGTCCATATGCGTGACATTCATTTATTTGGTACCTATACATAGGGCATTTTTTTCATTTGGTCTCTATATGAAAGTTTTATCTCTGTTTCTATATATTATAAAAATAAAAAAAAAATTGATTTGTGGTTAAAGGTGTTTTTGAAGTAATTAGCAAGGATAGATATGACCAACGGAGTTGTTGTTCTCCATATCTGTTACCATATTGTTTTTAATGGACACTTTGTACCCATGCCAAGTATATATTCACAAAGAACACTTAATAACACTTAAAATACTGTTAATGCATTTATATTATTTTACTTTTATTTTTAAAGTTTTTATACCAATACAATCACAATAATTAGATAAATTGTCTTAATCAGAGATAAGTTGTAACATTTTCTTACATCTACATTTTGACTCATTCATGTATGAGACATCAAATATCTATTTTAATTTGAAACTTGTGTTTTGTGTTAATTTTATACCCCTTTTTTGTGCGCGCACATGGATTAAGGTTATCTCTAGTCGTAAGTCAAATTAATATCTTTCCGAACATGGAAAATCACTGAAACAATCTGTCTCTGTTAACAAATTATACCTTGTATTAATTGTCATGTCGTATAACTTTTAACACGTCGCATTTACTTTGTCATGTTCGTGCTTTTTAGGGTGCACGCTCATAAATATTGTTCACATGTACTCTAGTGTAAGTTTTTGTGTATTCACACAGAAAAAGGGAATCATAGAACTTCACTTGCTCTAATGACAGAAGTGGAAAAAGAACCGATATCATTTTAGCTGATCAAATTACAGAAGAGAATAAGGCACCACGGCTCAAATATAAAAAAAAACCAGTCGATAGAAAATGATGAGGAGGAAAAACACTACACTAATAAGTCTATTTCATTGCATTATCACAAAAGAACACGAGGGAGAAAGAAGGTTCAAATGTTCAATCATAAAGTCGAATTCTTCATGTTCAGCACAAGACAGGACTGTTAATAACAAAGCCAGGTTATACAAACTTATCATATTTTTGGTAATGCAAAGTCAGGTTGGAGTAACTAAAGCAAAACCATAATGCAGACCAGCACCAGCCGCAACTATAAATCATGCATCTAGAACTAACAACTGATAAATCATAAACCATTATTGGTAATTAATTTGTATACTTGCGATACATAAAGAATCTCTATTACAAAAAATATTAAATTCCATAAAGAAAGAAGGAAATTAAAATTCAAAACCTGCATAATTAAATTTTAATATGATGCACTGAAATGATCAGTCCAACATAAACTTCAAATTTCAAATCTTGTAAAACTAATTAACAAGAGAGGAATAGCACCAAAGAATCGTCCATAATAAGTAGCTACTGATCTGGAGAAGATTGTTGTTGGTCTGGTGGTTGTGGCCACATTTGTGGTGCCATGTTGTAGGGATGAGACTGTTGAGCATAAGGGTCCATCACAGGCTTATTACCCATTATAACACCAGCAGTTCCAACTTGCTGTGCATGTTGAGGGGGCATATAGCAATAAGGAAGTGCCTCAGCAGGCCCTGTAACAGGCACAGTTCCTCTTGGCATTGATGCAAGCACTTCATCTTTCAAGTCCTCCCTTGGCACAATGTCGACCAAAAAATCAAAGATATCAGTTCTTGTGATGGCTGCTGCAATATCATTCTTTTGAAGGGTTCTCCTTTTGTTCTCTTCAGTGTGGTTCCAAGAACGCAAGGTTAACTCCAATATGAACATTTCACATGCCCTTGCAAATATGACTGGTGCCTCAGCTGATATCATTCTAACATCCTCATCAGCCTTCATAATCTTTTTGATCCTGGCCAAGGGAAGGCTGTGGTTCTTGAAGTCAGTTACCTTCTCAATTTCTTGATATTGGTTTGCCCAAAAGGCTTGGAGCCGTTGCTGCAGTTGCTGCTGTTGTTGCTGATGAATGTGCTGATTAGCAAGTTGATATTGTTGTCCTAGCTGAGTTGCTGGTGGTTGACCAGTGGATTGAATGGTCCCTGGTGATGCAACAACCATCCCAGGTGAACCTGTTAAATGGCTGGTCTGATATGGATTAGAACCAAAAGTAAGTTGAGGTCCACTTCCAACAACTCCCATAGATGGGTTCTGGCCATGTCCATGCCCTTGATGATCCATCCTGCTTCAGGTCAAATCAAACAAATCAATGCCTACACGTCACATGTAAATGATGTAACCAAAACAACAATATACACATGCATGTCTAGATAAATTTTTGTTTTTCTTCACAAACATGATCTCGAAGTAATCAAAAGTTGACAATTAAGAATTAGTATGTACTTATGAGACATGACTAGCATATTTGAATAACCATTCTACTCCTTCCAAAAGTACATTTAAAATAAAAGATACAAAAAAAAGTATCTTTCTCCAAAAGTACATTAAATACCTAAAAGTAACTTCAGAACGGTTATTCAAACACACAGAATCAGATTCTTTAGTGGAAAAAAATACTAGAGCTGGAGGGAAGAAAAGAAGGCACACCCTTTTCTTTTTATGCATTAACAAAAACACGTATACAACTATATATTGAATTCATCCATAGATCTAAATCTTATCCCAATTCATTTACATATTCAGAACTAAATTTGTTCTCAAGTTTATGTGCCACATAACATCCATCATAGGACAATGCTATACATATTTCATGGCCACAAGTACTCATCCCAATTCCTGGGAACAAGATATAATGACACAGTTTCACTACACCTAAATGCATAAACAAAATTACGCACATATGTGATTATGTGTATTCGGATAACTTGAGTTGCTACCTTCTCTAACAGCCAACAGGTGATGCTTTGTTCTGCAAATATTAAGAATCCGTAAAGGATTCGAAAATGAAAATAAATAGGAAAGGAGAAAACAAAAAGATCAGAAATTCTCTATTATTTCAAAGATCTATCATGCACGAGTTTTAGTACACCAGAAACACATTTTGGAAAGTTTTTCCGTAGGGTGGAAGATCTAAATCTTTTTTATAGGGGACAAAAAATGTAGGGTTTCATAACAATATATGAAAAACAGAGCTTTCTTAAGATTAATGATGTTTTCTTGAAACGAACCTAAGACGGGCAAGTACCAAAAAAGATGAGTGTGATCTGTTTCTGACTTTCATCGTCATAACTAACTCTGTTAGTTAAATATTCCCTTAACCTTATCTTTCTTTATTGGCCCCAACGAAGTTATTTCTTTTTTCCTTTTCTTTTGTTTACAGTAATGTCATGGTACAAAACCGTTAGGCACGAAAGAATACGAAATCCACGTATTTATGTTATTGAATAAAAAATTAAAATACCAACCTTATCGTGCTGAATGCTGATGTTGCTCTTACTAAATAGCATCACTATAAATCTAGTAAAATATTCGAAAGTCTCATACAAACTACATATACATATATATATATATATATATATATAAAAAATAAAATATTAAATAATTTTTAATTAGTTAACTCAATGTAGCTACCAGGATTAAGGACAACGAAAATAAATAAAAAGTAAAGAGTCACCACTAATATTTACTTTAGAAAAAAATATTGAAAAAATCATAAAATTAAAAGTAATCTATGAAATCTAAATTTTTAGGTCGAGTTAAATGTAAAGAATGTATTAGTATTCTACAATGTCTCTCGTAAACACGGTTACCTTTAATTAAGCAAATTATTTATAATTTTTAAAATATTTATCTTCCTCAAATTAATAAAATTAACTATATCAATCAAATATATTTTTATACCAATAATAATAAATAATTTTAGTATTCATTTAAATAAAATATATGCACTTTTAAATAAAATATATTTGATGGTTATAGTTAAATTTTATTAATCTTGGTGAGATAAATATTTTAAAAATTATAAATAATTTGTTTAATTAGAGGTAACCATTTTTAGGATAGGTGTTGTATGACGCTAATATCTTTCTTACACATAACTGATTCCCGAACTCAAAAATCTGATTACATAAACCACTTTTTACTATATAATTTTTCCAATATTTTTCCTATAATAAACATTAGTGACAACTTCCTATATTTTAATTTATTTTTGTCGTTCTATTGTAGTTCTATTTGTTGTACTTAATAACTGATATCTTATATCGAATAATATATTTTATATGTGATGTGAATTTATATAATGTTAATGTAAACATGAATTATTAAATAAAGTAAATTTTAATTAGTTATACCAGTATTGTATTTTCATTGGCTTAGTTTGGTTGTCTGGTCATTCTCTAATAAAAAAGAAGTGAATTGTTGGTGGATACAATGTGTAGTAACCCAATTTCGTCCGGAAAATATTAATTTTGTTTGAAAAAATTGCAAAAAATGTATATACAAGAAAGAATAAAAAAGACAAAATATCGAAGCCAAATGTAACACCTCAATTTTAATACTTTTGTGGAGGGTAATTTAGTAATTTTCATATGATTTTAGTAGTCCAGAACGGGCCGTTCCCAAACTGGAACGGGCCTTTCAACCTTCCAAAAAAGACCTAAAATTTCTAGCCTGGAACGGGCCGTTCCCAAACTTCCAAAAAGACCTATAAATTCTAGCCCAGAACGGGTCGTTCCCAAACTAGAATGGATTGGTCCAAGCTATTGAAAAGACTTATAAATTCTAGTCCAGAATGGGTCATTTCCAAACTATCGAAATACCTATAAATTCTAGCCCAGAATGGGCCGTTCCAAAAATGGCCGTTGTGAGTAAAGATGCAACCCCTAAACGGCCGTTCCGGATTCAGAAAGGACCGTTCTGGTCCCTCCTAAAAGTCTATAAATAGCGGCCCTTGGCCTTCCCAAACACACAAACTTATCCACTTTGGACTTCTTCTACGCTCTCTGAAGACCAGAGGGAATTCAAAGGAATAAACCAGCAAGTTATCACTTCTTAAGCGAAGAATAGTGAGTATATCGAACTCACTTACTTTTATTTATTTTTATTTTATTTTATTTATTAATATTTTTTTTAGTAATATCTGTCATTTTAAAAAATATTATTTGTCATCTTAAAAGTCTTATTTAAATTCAAAATGTGATTAAATATCAAAATATAGGGTTACAATATTTAATATAAATATCTGAAATTATTGTATCAAAAATTTTATTGGAGGAATGGTTAATTAGATGTGACATCTATTTAACCTTTGAATTTAAAGTACAAGTTGTGACAGCTTATCTTTAAATTTTTTCTCCAAAAACAAAAATGCCCAACAATTTTTTTTTTAAGATCATAACATCTCTAGCAATAATTATAATTAAAATTTTTATTGAATTGACTTTGGTGTACACCTTAGTCAATTTTATATTTTTAGGATGAATAAGCTGAGACAGTTCAAGAATCCTATATTTAACAAAAATAAAATTTAATTTAAAAATATCAACACACAAATATTTTCTACAAAGAACTACGTGACTCTGATTCTTCATTACACATGAAGATATGTAAGAGCAAGAAATAAATCTTGTCGAGCAAAAAAATAAAAAATATATTATTTTCCTTTTTATATAACAATAATAATTTTAAATTTTTTTTAATGCATTAGTTAAATTAGTTAAATAAAATATATTTAATCATTTTAGTGAGATAAATATTTTATAAATTATAATTAATTTGTTTAATTAATTAAAGGTAATCGTCTTAGGACAAACGTTGTGAGGTGTTAATACCTTCCTCACACGTAATCGACTCCCGAACTCAAAAATCTGGTTTTCGTAGACTATTTTTTACTTTATGATTTTTTCAATGTTTTTCCGTAAAAAATAACATTGATGGCAACTCCCTATTTTTCAATTTATTTTTCGCCGTCCCGTCGCGATCTCGGTTACGGCACAATGGTCATTAAATAACGATATAATTGAGAGAAAAAAAAAATCTAATTTGTTATTGAAATTTTGCAAACAATTATTGTGAGAAAAAGAAGAAAGTTAAACTTACTGAAGAAAGAAAATGGAAGGAGTAATAAATATTTGGTGTGATATTATCTACTAATTTTTTAATTTCTCAAACTAAAAGAAATTGTAATTGAGTCCATTTTCTTAGATATTATTTTTTTTAACATTTAGATATCTTTTTCCAATTTGTGAAACTTAAAAAATATTTTCTATATTCTCATACATGAACAATTACATTAGGTTATTATTTCATATTATCATCCATCTATATCAAATTTCAATTCATATTTGTTAAAATTCGTGTAATGTCCTTAATCACTAAACTTTGAACTCTTGATCTATAGTCACTAAAATTTGTCTAATCTTCCTACTCATCAATATAATCATAGAAATTCTCAAACTCGTATGACATATTTTTTTTTTGTTAAATTGCTTATATTATGATTAGACAATTAACTCCAATAATTAAATTACAAATATATATATATAAAAGATGAAGGGTCCTATTTCATTGAATAAAACATTTAGTATAATGAATATACATTTTATTTGCCTTCAAAGAATCTGAATCCAAATGCTTGTTGAATGGAATGTCAATGGTAAAACAATAGCTACTAAAATTTTATCAAGGCATCTCCAATGGAAGCAACTTATTTGAGTTGCTTCATATATTAAAAAATAAAAAAAAGTAGTCCCCAGTGTGTCATGTCAACATTAAACAACTCAAACACAAATTTACTTCAATGGTAAGAAACTTTAAGAAATTCAACTTTTAAAATTTTTTTCCTAATCATTTATGAACTAAATCTAAATTTTATTAAAAAAGATAATTACACTACAATAAAAAAAAATTACGAGAAAAAATACACAATAAGTAAATATGAAAAATAAAATAAAATAATAGTAAATACATAAACATTATACAAAATTATTTTTCATCATTATTATTTTCAAAACATTCCCAAATATGTTCAATAAGATCCGCTTGAAATCTGGTAAAGAAAGGTTGCTTGAGGAAACAACTTTCTCTCTTCTTCAAGCAACTCATGTTGTCACGTCAGAGTCCTTCAATGACAAGAAACCGGGGCTTGAGTTGCTTCATAGGACAAACAACTCCCATTAGAGTTGCTCTCATCATTCAAAGTTTTAGAAAAAAATTAATGATTTGCCTGAAAATTTGTACTGATTTTGGCAAATGTCATTTTTTCTATTTCTTCGAAGGTTATAGCCAGAGTAATTTCGATGGCTAAAGGGCCTCTTAGGAGTAGAAGACTCGAAAAAAAAAAAGTTCAGTCCAACGCAAGAGACAATATAACAACACACAAAAAAGAATCACAGTATTCCAACTATTTTCATTTTACCTTTTGCCAAACAACATATCCTTTTCAGTTTTCCCATATTGTAATTTTTTTTGGCTAACCTTTATATCCGTTATAGAAAAGGCTAAAGTTACATCAATACATTAACAAATGGAAGCTTCATCTGTATTCCTCTGGCAATCGATACCCTGGCATGACTATTTTGTCAGCGAACATTTTGCCAGTCTTGGGCATAACATGCCAGTGCATTGTCAAGTTGAATTCTTTACCTCGCAAATTGCTTCCCTAGACAAGTAAAAGAATGGAAAATTAAGGCACAAAGAAATCCTAAGGCATTTATGCTAGCAATCACATCCTTAAAGAGTTGTGTACCTGGTCAATGAAACGGTACTTATTGGATGTATGAATCCAAAACTTAGCATGCTCCTTTGAAGGAATTATACCATCCCACAACGATATCTATAAATTAGCATCTTAAGAGCATAAGCAACAACTAAGAGATACCATACAGCAAAGCTTGATATGTAAAAAAAAAGATGCAACATAACATGCATCCTTTTGTTCTTTACTTTCTGAAACGTGTCATGGCCTCCTTTTGTTTTTTCCTCTTTGAAACGCACCTCACCAACCATTTAAATATCAAAGTTAAGATGCAAACAAACAGAGCAAATCAAACCTGATTCAAGGAATGCTTAGGGGTTCTATATTCAGCAGCTAAGAATACAAAAACCTGCAGGCATATAAAAAGATATAAAAGTAAGTCCAGGGGCAGCCTGACCTTCGTATTTAGAATAAGTGATCAAAAAACAGGATTCGGTGAATCATATGCAAGTATCACATTAAGCAGTTCCATTAGTTTTATAGAAATATATAATGTAAAAAACATAAAGATCATTATAAATTCTAGGATATAAAGCAATATATAACAGTGGGCAAGGCGCCTTAAACAAAAAGATGGAAGAAAATCAATAAGATGAGGAAGGTCAAAGTAGAGCAGACAAAATTAAGAATACAAGATTAAAATATCCGTCATATATCTATAGTCAAATATTTTAAGTTTCACTCATCCTGCATCCAATCTTCCCAATTTAGTTTCAGCAAGCAAAGATGGATAAAAACACAAAAAAACAGTATTGACCACAATGAACAATAGAAATTGAAGTCAAGAACCTGTTTCGTGTTCCATGTGAAAAGAGACTGCAAATCTGCTGATATATTCATTGCCATGCTAACCTGCAATAATAGAAAGACTTTACTTATTTATTTATTATTATTCCAAATTGAACTACGAATTAAGATAGCTTTGAATCTCAAACAGACATAAAAATAGGTGGCATATGCACAATATGATAAAAAATCACATGCAGTATGAAATTCATTGACTAGTTTCCCTGCATTCAAACATTTCAGAAGCCTATATGACAAAACAAGTTACTAATCAAGCAGAGGCCATCAAAAAGGCTCTAACCGTGTATCATTGCAGCATAACATTCAAAGTTTTTTTTTTTTTTTTTTTTTTTAAAACCCTTCAAGGAAAGAAAAGTTTATCAATGAAAGCATGCTTTTCCACGTGATTTTCCGACAATGTCTATGAATGCTCAAATTGCATTTTTTTAATATATAATATATTAAATTTTATCCCACAGGGAGCCCAATTCTGAATCCCAAGAGCTTGCAATTATAAAACATAAAAAAATGTAACTTTTATTAGAATTACCTCGTCGCCGCCATTGGGATGCTTCTGAAACCAATTAATGTTCAAGACCTACATAGAGAGAGAGACGATGAAATGATGTTACGTTAAGAATTAGAGATCTGAGAAAGGGAGAGAGAAAGAGACCTGAACATGGGCAGAGGGAGAGGGGGAATTGCGGTTGTCGGAGAGAGAAGCCATGGCGCACATAACGGCAAGAAGGGTTAAGCTGAAGGTTAACACAGCATTCGCTCTGTATCCATATGAATGCATTTTTTCCTTTTTCCTTTGATCAATTCCACTTCTTCTACTACTACTACCCTCACTCACTCTTTGCTAAATTAATTAATTATACAAAACTATTTTTTTCTCATATATTCAAATTTAATTATACCCTTAAATCCACTTTTCAATCCTTATATTTACATGTGTAATTTTGGTTCCGCAAAATTTTTTGTTACAAATTTTAAAGAAAAAAAAAATGTCTTAATTATAGCCTTAATCATGCTCATATTATTATAATTGTTAAATTTTTGCACATAATAAAAATAGAGTATGGATTCTCGGCTAAATATATTGTCCCACAATTTGTGATATTTTTATTATGATTCCTCTGATTAATTTTTTTTTTTACATAAAATTCTTTGTATATATATACGTGTATTATTGGCAGCACAACTTTAATGTAATTTTTAATACCATGCGAGGTTTGTAAAACAGATAGAAGCCTATGTTGAACAGATATGGGCTAGAACGTAGAGACCCACTCCATTTATTTTTTTTTGCGTGAGAAAGCCCACTTACTCTGAACCAAGGCACAATAAAGTTAATAAAGTACTATTATAATTGATCAAAGTTGAAAATATAAACGGAATGAAAGCTAATATGTCATGAGTTTGTTCCATCTGAAAACCAAGATACTGTGCATTCTCTCTGATCTTTCTTTTCTTGTTATAGTAATTCTTTTTTCTTTCTTCTCCTTTCATGATCCTCTTTCATTCTCTTTTCCTTTTCTTTTACTTTGTTTCCTTGGTTTAACGAGAAAGTCTATACTTTACGTACTATGTATGATTGATATTCCACACTAGAGATGCTTTGCTATCAATCATATTCATTGACACTGTACACAATATCCTGAATTAAACTTTGATTCAAAGTTATTAGTACAATCCCTCAAAAAAGAAACAAACAAATATTAGTATTGTTAATTCGTCGGCATATAATAGCTCGCGGTCAAAAATTAAAATAGAATTATTAAAATGTTTGCTGGGCTAGCTAGTAGTATAGTTCCTTTTAAAATATTATTTGATGGGTATATTTGCAATTGTATTTACCCATATAATGCAGAGTCAGTAAAATATACATTTCGTCTTGGTAAAGAGTGTGTCTCACACGCGTATATTATTTATTCTTGTTTTTATTTGTTTGAGAAGGTAGATGCTGAATTAAAAATAAATAAAACATTTTTAAAAAATGTAAATAATAAGAAAAAATGTTACTTGGCTGTGGTCCCAGGAATCCCTTGGCTCTTCTGTCCATATATCGATGGATGAGTTTACAAGTTTAAGAAGTGTAGTTGGCTCTTCTCTTTCCAACCCTCAAAAAAAGAGGGGGAAAAAGTGGCAGGTAAGGCAAGTAAGGAACGTGTGTGGAACTAATTTTTAAGGTAAGTAGAGTATATCCTTTTTTTCCTCAAAATATTTGGAAACATCTTACGGTATGTTTTATTGGCTAAAGCATAATGCAAGATAAAGCCATAATGGGCAAAAACTAATAGCTTAAGTAGAGAATGGAGACTACTACAAAGATAGAGCATTAAATGGTAGTAATTAAAAGTTAGGGAAAAAAGAAATGGTTTGCAGAATAGAGGATTGAAATTTAAAGTGAAGTATTGAATATTGTGAGCAACATGTGTGTGAAAAGAACATATTTGGCCAATAGCAAAGCCAAGAGAATCTAGAGCATTGAATATTTTGCAGGACGCATGGCTCCATTTAATTTGAGGAAATAAAAGGCCATGTGAGAGTCTGTGATGGCCTACTCAGGAGCGGAGCAAAATAAAGAAACAGCACATGACATGATACATGTAATAGTAATACTACTAGTCCTAAAATGTTGCACATATTTCTAGCACTAGGACAAAATTTAATGAAACCCCCCAAAATACTAGAAACAAATAATAGAAGCCTAAAACAAACTAAGCCATTACTACTACCGGTAATAATAATAATAATTTACATGATACTGCAGCTCTCAGTGTTCTCATCACTGAAGACGTGCGTGATGGGATCCGCCATGGGGTGCGACGGCATTGGCGGCATCGGATAGTAGTTCATGGAAGGATGTTGATGTGGCCTCCCATACAACATGTGTGGTGGGTACATGTTCATGTTCATGTTCATGTTCATGTTTGCTTGCTGTTGCTGTTGTTGTTGTTGTTGGTTCATCAACATGGCCATGTATTGCTGTTGTTGTTGCTGCTGCATGTAAGGGTTAGGTTGTTGCATCTGCATCTGCATCCCTTGGTAGTAACCACCGTTCATCCCCGCCGCCGCTGCCGCAGCTGCTGCCGGTAGTCCTTGCACCGTCGGGATATTGATATTCCTCATGTGCTCCATGGGGCCCCTCTGACCCATTGGGCCCATCTGAGCCACATTACCATTATTGCCGCCATGACCATGACTATGACTATGACCCTTGTCATTATTATTTACCTTGCCATTACCATTTCCATTACCGCTCTTTCCATTTTTACCCTTGGGAGGGATATCAAAATCTTCAAAGTCAAAGTCAATTTTGTCGAATTTACCTCCTCCATCTTTCTTTCCTTTGTTGTTTCCACCGTTGTTGTTTTTGCTCTTGTTTGTTGTGTCGGTTGCACCTCCTTTCTTGTTCTTTTTTCCTAAGCCTAGGAACCGAACAAGGAAACCACCACCACCACCATTTTTGGCTTTGGAGTTCTTTTTCTTGTTACCTCCATGATTATCTCCCCCACCGCCACCCTTTTGCTTTCCACCTTTGCTCTTTGCACCCCCATCTCCATTACCTTTTTTTCCACCTTTGCCCTCGTTGAAGTTTCCACCTTTACCCTTCATTTGTATAGGTAGATCAATGACTTCACCCTTCTTCACACCCCCATAATTCCCACCTACATTCCCTTTATTGCCAGGCCCATTCATCATTCCACCAGGCCCATGTGGCCCACGTCCATTCCCCATCTGCCCCATCATAGCCATCATCTTGTTATGCTGCATAGGATGCCCATGGCCATGGCCATGGCCATGGCCATTACCATTACCATGTCCATGTCCATGTCCATGTCCATGTCCATGTCCATGTCCATATCCATACTCTTCCTCTTCATCCTCCTCATCAAAATCATCTAAATCGTCTTCAAAATCATCATAGTCATCATCAAATTCATCAAAATCACTCTCATCATCAAGTTCATCTTCTGATAAGTTGAAGTTGACAGATTTCTGATTCTTGGGAGGTACTTTTGACACTCCTTTAGTATTTTGGAAGTGTGCTAGTTGACCACCACCACCCTTGTGGTTCTGAGACTTATTGTCCTTGCCCCCTTTTGTGTTATCTATGTGCAAGTTCTTGAACTGAGGGTAGGTGTTGGGGTTGAACATCATGCCTCTCTGGCCACCCCAAAGTTCGGCATGCTTCCCTGACCTCTTCAGCTTTTTTATCAGTTTCGCTGGATCTACATGTCCTGACACCATCACCTTCCCTCGCTCCGCATCTATGTTCACAGAATACACCCCTGCACAACAAAATGCACCCACTCTGCTTAACGACAAAACCACTCAAGTAAACTGTCATGTCTCAACATCTAATTATCTTTGCTTACACAATACTACTACACAACAAAGTAAAGTTGGAACCTTTGGACCAACGAAAAAAAAAAAGAAGTAAAGTTGGTACCTTTCAATATAGGATGCAAGTAGACAACAAAATAACAAGAGTTTGAAAACATGGGGGTATTTTAAGTGGCATGGTAAAGTTGAGATGCAAAGCAAATTAACATCAAATGAAAGTTTGAAAAAAAAAAAAAAAAAAAAAAAAAAGGCTATGAGAGGTGTGTTAGAGATGTACCATCAATTTTCTGCAGGATTTTCCTTACTTTCTGCTCACAGCCATCACAGTGGATATTGACCTTGAGAAGGCAATTCTACATGAAATATAAACACAACACACAGATCAGTTATCATGAGTTCACAACTCTACCTTTTAAACAGAATAATGACAAAGGAAGGAAACAGATCGATTTGTCTTTAACAAGTTTAATTAACTTATGAAGACGAGAGTGAAACTAGTAATTAACAAGTGTGCACCTGAACTTTCAGCATGTCTTGTTTACTCATCCTCGCTAGCTAGCCGGTTGGCGCACAGATGTGAATGGAGAAGTAGAGAACAAAGAGGGAGAGTGATAATTGTTTGTGTTTAGACTTTAGAGAGAGTAAAGGGTATTGTTGGCACGCATTGGACACTTCTATATTTGTTCCTTTGCTCAAATATCCGTACTGTTTAGGCTCACTCACACGTACAACAACAAAGTCACATTTTAGAGAGTTTGCTGAGGCTGCAAGGTAATAAACAGCTTGGAACTAAGATAGCTTCTCTGTGACTCTGAGTTGGCTTTATGTTTTATGGTTGGTTTATATATAAATAAGAAACTCGTGAAGCTTTCAAAGTGGTCTCACTGACAGCTTAATACTGCCATCGTTGCGCCTAAATAATTAGGAGCAAGTATCTTTTAATATCCTCTTTCTTTTTCATAGAATGACACCACGTCTTACTTTCACCACCCCCACATATTTTATCTATTTCAGCCCATCAACTTCCGGGCCGGCCCTGTTCATTTGGGCCTATAAACATGAAATTGAGTAAATAAGTCATTTTTCTTAAAAATGGTATGGGATAATTACAAAACGGTCAAAAGAAAGCATGCGATGCGACCTTGCGTGAACGCATAATAGAACCCTCCCTATCAACTGAGAAGTTCAATTCATGAAACTTGGAAGGGATGAGTTGGGCTGCATATTACGTTACAAGTTACAACCCTTCCTCTAGACTCTAGTCACGTTATAATTTGAAATTGGAATCTAATTCTTGATGGGTTCATATTATGTGATTGAGTTTTCATGAGAAACTTGGATTATGCTATTATGGCTGTGGTGGCATTCATTCAGAAACGTTATGTTACTCTTTTTACTTGTTTACCTGTAATGATTATTAAATTATTATTACTTTTTGTAACGTATATCTAGTGTTGATGGAGTAATGTCCCGTTATAAGACTGTGCAATGAGAACATGTGTTTGGAGTTTGACAAAGGAAGCAAGAAAGCAAGGAGCAGAAGAGTTGTCAGTCAAGGTTAAATAGTCATTCCGAAATTTAAAGACGAGATTTGGGTTTGTGTGTAAAAGTAAGGAACACAGGGACCTCTCAAAACCCATCCCGATGGCACTGACATATAATAGAGCCAATCACTACACTCTAAAATAATGCACAATTTTTTTAAAGTAGGAGAACACTGAACAATGATCTTCTGCGAGTTTGGACCCTGCTTTTGCAACCAAAATCATTGTTTGTCTTCATTAAAAGTCCAACCTGGTGCAAAATGGCTGTCCCCACCTCATCTTTTATTTTATCCTTTCAAATTTTTAAAAACTGCCGTAAAAGATTTCTGTAATCTACAAAAGAACAACCCCACCACACAATGGGAAACACCTTCCCAAAAAAATCCAAAGTTTACCAAAATGCTTGTTTTTGTAGAATGTGGGGTTGGTTTAGTTTCATATAATTTCGGCCACTTTCCATTATTTTTTGCTTCTACTTGACTATTCAACTAGTGTATGCTAATCAATCTTCGTTTTCGTTGTGCTGTACAATAATATTATATGAACTGTACTTTGTTTTCTTATCATGCCCTAATAGCTAATGGCCAACTCCTTCCTATTGTTTGAACATCTTATGACCAACTTGTATTAAAGGAATAGAAGATTCGCTTCTCCAAAAGCTATCCACTTCAGCGTTTGCCTATTGATCCCTTAATTAGGGGCGCTGCCACTGACAAGGACACTTTCAAACTCTCCTTTAAGTTATAGATTTTACTCGTATGATAAATAACACATGATTGAAGTTAAAATATATTGCACCCTATCTTTGCTATTTTGAAACCAAGACCGGTTACTACAAGTGGTCACATGCTTTTTTTATTCAAAATCCTTCATATTTAAATCTTGATCTTAAATATAAAATAAATTATGTTAGAAAGATAATATATATGTCTTTATTATAAATACTTTGTACAATATTATAATTAAAAAAGTATCTTTATTATTTTCAAAATTATATAAAAGGCTATTTGATTTTAGATTTATTATATTTAAGAGACCCAAATAATTGAAAATTTTGTTGCATTATTGATCATACGTACAAATAAAAACAACCTAATAAATACATGGATGTCAGCTAACTCATCACTAGAATTCCCCAGATACCTGTTATTTGTCTACAGACTGACTGACCCAAGTAACGTAAATATAGAACTATTGGACAAATGCATGATAGTTATAATGAATGACCACTATTAATAACAATTGAGGGAAAGACACACAACACAACGTTAGAGGTATCCCTCATCCATTACCGATACGTTATTCTTAACACTTTCCTCTGTGGTAGATACCTCGAACGTGTGCAGCCAAATTGGAGAGTTTTGGCATTTATCATACCAACCCCCTGAGGTACATTCAAGAACATACTAAAATTTAAAATTAGAGGTAACAAATATTCTTATTGAAATCTTTAAGTAATTGTAATATTTTATAACTAAAATGAATATTTGTTTGTGTGTATTGGGGGAGGCTTGCCTTAAGATTCAAGATTCAAGTTCTTGCAAGATATGCTAAATGGTCCAGCAAGAGTTAAGCCACAAAGAGGAAAGGGATCCATCACATGTTGTAATACTTTTAAATAATTGGCTAGAATTTAGTATAAGATGTTTCAATAGAAACCAAATAATTCATTGGATTGAAGCTTCTGTCTAAAGCTGCTTTCTAATAATCCTTTCTGTCCAGAAAGTGACCCGGTTAAACTCGATATCAAATTGATGTTTCACCTCCTCGATTGATATGTATTTAGAATCTAACAATACAATGCATTTAGAATAATATCAAACACATGAAAATTATTAAAGATATGCTTTAATTATAATCAAGACGGCACAGTCCAATAATTCAATGTATTGAAGTAATTTACAACAATTTTAAATACTGTTATAAAGGTTTTATGTAACTATTGTTATTATGGCTTGAGTCTTTTATGCCTGGCTAATAGAAAACAAGGAGATCAATAATTTAATAATGGGAATCAAGATATCCCACCTTTAAAAAAGTGACACATAGATGTAATAATAAGAGGAGAAAAAGAAAAATATCTTCGTGGGACAGTTGCCCCTAAAATGTTATAGGTCGGTTCTTCTTTGAGTTCAACGGTAGATATTTGTTTGGTTGGTGGCTAATGGTGATAGCTAGGATAGCATATGTGTAACTAACAATACCAAAGTTCGAAAATATTACAGCCTAAAATCTGACTTACAAACATCAATTGGTCACTCAGAACCGAAATTGGTAGCAATATAATTCACGCAACATGCATAAAGTTCAATAGATAGTATCACTTGAAGGCAAAATAAAGTACAACTTGAACCATGCTTGTTCAAACTCACTATTAAGAAACTTTTGAAAAATGAAGGATTATTATCGTGTAAGTAACAGTCGTGACCCAACTTGAGCACTGGTAAGACGTAGGGGATTTGATTAATATAAGTGGTGATTTTGTATTAGTATTTAGTGGTTAAGATTTGACATAACACTTAAAAAAATGATAGTGACGGATGTTGGGCGGTGGCAAAGAGAAGTGAAGAGAGGTCCTTATCAGAAGGTTTGATAGAGGGACATGTGCCTCAGGGAGGCAGGGACTAGTTTATGAACTTGACAGATAAATTAAAGGGGTTATTGGGACCCCAAACAGAAAGACCAGGGTTGGTACAGTGGAGTTGTTGGGTAATCACTTCAGAGTCATAAGTGCTTGCTTGGGAGTGGAGGACCAAAAACCAAAGCTCAATTCAATTCAATTATTGGCCCTGCTAAGCCCTTCATACTGACACCATGTGTGCCTCTGGAATTGGAACCCATATCCTAATCATGGATCCATCCACACTCCCGTGACCCGACCCATTACACACTAATAGTACGCATGCTCAACCTCAACTCACCACATTCTAGTTTTGTATTGTGTCACCAGTTAACCATGATGTCAAGGTCAGTGAAATTTCAAGTCACAAAGTTTCATCATGCATGCAAATACAAACAACAAAAACAAATTATACTATTAATTTATTCTAAGCATATGATATATATTAAATGTCATAGTTTTAGTATACTGTACTTAAAAACGTGATTAAGGAAAAATACTTTACAATAATGATGATCAATTAAGTCTCAATAGAAATTAATAATAAGAAAGACTGATATTTGGTAAAATAATATACAATTTTATTTATATTTTTTCTTTTGTTGTTCAAAGTATCTTTCAGTCAAAAATCAATGAATAATTATTTGAAATACGTAAATTTATTTAAGAAAAATATTCTTTTAAATGCATATATGTAAAGATCTAATTATGTATACATGTAAAAGAAATTTTATTTAGAACTAATTTTTAAAAATTTTCTAAGTTGTTATTTGATACATGTTTTTATATCTCAAGACGGATTGTATATACTTTTATATAAAAATTAGGAAGTAATTCGTGCATATGTACATGATGGTGCAAGTTGGTACATATTTAATTATTATTTTTTGTCCTAAAAAATTATTGAACAAAAATGTTTAAATTTAAAGAAAAAAAATAGGTTAAAATTGTTTGTAAGAGAGTAAATAGTTCAAAATGAAAATTAATTTATTAGTTTTGTGGATTAATAAAGTGAGTAGTTTGTTAGAAAATTAAAGACTAAATTAGGATTATGCATAGTTAATACATGAAAATTGATGGAAGCAAGAGGCAGCAATCCCCACAAGGTGGAAATCCTTGAATAGGATATGATAGTTGCTTTAAGACACCAATTAAGACTTTCAGACTTTGAGATTGGAGAGCACAGAGTGTGGACTGTGCTTTAGGTACCTTTATTTACCTCAATATTCGAAATTCTGACCGGGTTGGATCCAAATTCAACTTTAACAATATTAAGATGCCAAAGATACCGTAGTTTTACACTTGCTTGTCGCGGCTGATATTCCATATTCCCACTTTTGTTCTGCCTTTTTATTCTTTTGGGACCTTGTGCGGGGGACACACAGGCACACAGTTTACTTCATGTAAGATACGATGCAACATGCTACCAAGAAAAGAAAATACTACTCCTACCACATTAATGCTTCTTCACAGACCATTTTGACTGATGTCTTTACCTTGCTTTCTCGAACAACGATGCATCAAATTATCCTTCTCCTCCTCCTTCTATGCTTCAACATCACTACTATTCTCTCACAACTACCATACAACTTTTCTTCAACAACAAAATAAGTGGGATAAATAAATCTATAAATGCCTCTGCTACCAATGAAGAAAAAATTCAACTAGCCAATGTTGTTAAACTTTTGTTGCAGAGTGCA